GTATTGTCTTGTATTATACCGTATTGTCTTGGTATTATACCATATGGTCGTGTATTATACCGTATGGTCTTGTATGGTCCTGTATGTCCGGTAGGTATTGTATGTACTATCTTTTACTGTATGTACTGTAGGTGTTGTATATCTAGTAGGTGTTGTATGTGTTGTATATCTAGTAGGTATTGTATATTCTGTATGTCTAGTTATGTACCATATGTTTTGTGTGTTTGGTAGGTATAATATTTGTTGTATGTACTATGTGTAATGTGTGTGCTTTACTGTATGTTTCGTATGCTTGTATTCATTGAGAATGGTTCAAGCTGGCTTTTGAGTTCAAATTTCATTAGTATCCGGATCCTAATGATTTTATAGTTACAAGGGATGCTTAAACAAAATTCCCATGTCCATCCCCAGTTAAAATTGTTGATGGTTTGCATCCTGATATCCGGAAGATGATAATCAAGAGTGTCCCAGGGGACTTTGCTGAAACGAATTGAAGACTACTGGAGAGCTTAGTTCAATGATTCAATAAGGTAGCATTCATTTGACTGGAATGTTTCTTTCACTTCTTTCCAAAGTTCATTTAGTTCCAAGAGTATATGTTTATTGATAATCCTTGGTTGTTCTATCATGCTGGGGAGGTTTTCAAGTTAGATTGTTACAATCAAGCATGTAATATTAAGTTGTGAACTTTTACCTCCATCAGCATTTCATTCAGTAGTCAATACACTGAAACTAATCTGATTGAGAGTTTATACAGTCAATCTAAAATACCTTGTCCGGTCGAGTTTTTTTAAAAAAATATTTTGGTCAATACAGGCCTAAATATGCTTATATTGAGCCTTCAATCGAGATTCACCTATCTCGATTGAATTTGGGCTGTTTACCACAGCTCACCACTTCTTCCATACCCTTGATCCCACCCAGATTATACCCTCGATCCCACCACAACATACCAACGACAATTCCAAGTCCACCATGGGCCACCGAGCCACCAAAAAAGAAGTTCTCTTGGAAGCTGAGAAGAAGAGATGTAATGAATTGTAAGTTCCCAAAACCAGTGATCTTGTTTCTTTTTGATAACGTTTCACTCACCAATTGTTTTTCAGCGCGATACGACAAGCAAGACAAGCTGGACCGGAGGGGCTTAGCCCTGAGCGTGGCAGAGAAGGTACCCCTGTCCTCTTTCATAACTAAGTTCATCTCTTGTTTCCTTTCATCAAACTCAAGTTGTTCGATTGCTGATGACCTCTGCTTTGTAATTGCAGAGACGGCCACCATTATGAAAACGTTATGTGCGGCCCCCGTCAATATCGAGACTCAGAACCGGTTCACTTGGATCCGCGCCGTGATCCAGGCTTCCGCAACTTCCCGTGTCGACTTCGTGCTCCAGGTCAGTTTTTTCCTCTCTTTCATTCCTCTTTGCTTCTTCCTTTTTCTTTACTCGTTTCGTTCAAATCAATCACTTTCCTCGCTGATCTTATTTTTTATTAATTTCTTCGAATCGTTTGCTTCCAGCCCCACAACCTGCTCAAGAGCCACAAGTCAGTCAGGCTCACCGGGACCCAATGTTCAACACCCAAGTCATCCAAGTTGAACCTCAAGCTGCAATTAATCCACGTCATGGTAAGTTTTGGATATCTCATCCAAAACTCAACTTAGAAATTCAACTGACGTGATTATGACTTGGTCAGGATCAAACCTTGAGATTGACCTAACTCGATCGACACCACCACCGGCCCAAGTCCCTGCAGCAGCTCGTCAACCTCAAGAACTTGCAATTGAGGCTAAACCAAGCCACGTGAAGTTATGGTTCCAGGTGTACGCTCCAATTACGAAGACCAAGGCGGATAACCAATCTGGAGCCGCCCAGAAGTACATCGATTTATCGCCAAAAGAACCTTTCAATGCCCTCATCCAGATCCACGGTGCCAAACTCGTCGATATCCAAGCGAAGGTCTTTGATGCCTGTGATACCTACAAGACTGTATGCGGATCGATCCTCAAGATAGCCAACGAAGAAGGTAAGATGGTCTTCAAGGGCTGCGTTGCTGGCCGTGGAGATTTCCTCAAGTCAGCCTTGAAGCCTATCACCTCGGAGGCAATCCTCGATCATTTCAAGGCAACCATGTTGGAGAATAAAGGTAAAGAAGTTGGGTTTCGACTGATCATGGACAACCCAAAGACTGTAAACCGTCTCAAATCAAAGGTACGTTGGATTTCTAATCTTTGACTTTGTTTATGGTTTTGAAAGCTGATTCATTTGTCTTTCTGGGCTGATCAGGAGGATACCTTTGATCGAGCCATCCGAGACAATCATCCGGACACCTTGGCTCCTGCCCGAAATGACGAGTTGGACATGTTAGTAAGTCTATCTCTCGTCTCTGTTCCAGCCAACATTGTACTCATTACCTCCTTTTTTCACAGGGAATCAACGTTAATCCAAGCTTTCAGGAAATCCGAGTGAAGCTCATGAGAGACTTTGGGTGTGTCTCAATCGGAGGCCGTGAGTGCATGGGGATGATTAATCCGGAAAATAGCAATGAGGCGGTGCACTTGTCCCATGCAATGATGGACACTTGGGCAAACGACATTGTAAGTGATTCTATTTTTAATCATTTCTTCATTTCGTTTACTGATGATCCTTTCTCTTTCTCAAAACAGTTCAAAAAAAAACCCGGAGTTACAGTCATGAAGCCTCCAACCCGCCGACCTGGATTCCAATTTCTACCTATTTCCAACCAACCTTGCCAGCCTCCGAAATACACTGCCGATAGTGTTGCATCGACCTCACAAATCCCTCAACACTATTCCGAGTCGCCACCACCATATCCTCTTCCGGATTTTGAAGATTATCTCCGGTTCGCCAAGGTTGGACCCGAGGATCATGTGACCCGAGAGCTTCTTGATCGACACAACATTGTTGAATTCGAATCCTTCTTCTCTCCTGCGTTGGATATTCCAACCCTTGAGAGGTTGGGATTCCCTTATGGAGCGGCGGTGCGTTTACACGACAAAGCCCCACTGTATCGAACTGAGCTGAAGAAGCGTAAGAATCCAACGTTTTGGAGTTGAATGGTTTAAATTAAAAGAAAGAGAAGACAAATCAAGGGTACCTTTATTGTAGCAGAAGCTTTCCTTATACATGTAGCTACTCATTATATCCACCTTAACCCCCAAGAAAATCAATGTGATCGCTTGTGCTGCAATGTAAATTTTTATGCGTTAACTGTCCTAGCCATTGAACCAACTCCAACACCTGAGAGATCTGAGTCACCAGTGTGATTACCACAGGTCTATCGCAAGGGAAAATGACAACAATTGTTCTTTATCACAACCGAACATGTCTAGAGTCTAGAGTCTGCTGAAGTCTTGATTTTGAGCAAGACTTTCCCCAGATTTTAGGATGTGTAGATTTTTACAAGTCTGACACGTACTCTCTAATGAATACAAAGCATGTTCAAGCTCATTAAATCACTAGACTTAAGCTCACTTCACGAAAAGAACACAGAATTGGGTATGATAGCCCTTTTGCATTTCTTGAGGATAATGTAGAGAGAAATGTACACAATTTATGTTTGTTTTGGGATGTAGGATTGGTGATGGTGATGAATGCACATGACGTGTTAACCTTCTTCATACCCACAAGTCTTATAAAGACTCATAATCAATGAACTGGTCGAAACCTCACTCATTACTACTAGCATACAATCAAGCCTATCAGCTGCATCATTCAGCATGCGGTTCCTCCTGAGCCTATCTTTGAAAACATCAAAGATTCTCTCGATTGGGTTCAAATCCGGCGAGTACGGTGATAAGTAGCGAACAACAATACCCATCTCATTACACATTTGTTCGATCTCGCCACCATGGTGAATGGTACAATTGTCCAACACCAATACTGAATTTCGCGCAGGGTAACGATTCATCACGGGAAGCTGCATCAATGGGAATGTATGATTGAATCAGTATATTGGAAGTATTAAGGATGAGAAACAGGCGAGATGCTTACCAAAAGATGCTTCATAAAAGCTTCGAAATCTGTTTGCAGGTAGGCATCCATCTTGGAATGTACTGCAAGCAACCCCATTTCACAGATGGCTGCGAGAATACTGTAATGCGGTCCATTTCGTTTTTGTTTCAACTTCACAGGTCGTTCGCCTCGCTTCGATCTCACTTTGTCTCGCATCACATCCTGTGTTCTGAGACCTGTCTCATCTTGTAGATGCAAAGGAGAACAATCAAGTCAGTTACTGTTGATAATGTTTATGACAAAAAAAGAAAGAAGCTCACCCATGAAGACAAGACACTTGGAAGGGATATTGGCGATTCTCATGGAATAAGCTGCTCGAAGGTCAGGGGATTGCTTCGGATCCACTTTGGCAGCTTTATGAACAGTAAGAAAGAGACGGTCTTTTAAATCGTTTGCTATTGTTTGTCGACAAGCAATGATATCGGTGTGATCATGCATCGCCTCCTGGATCTCGTCCAGAAAAAGTGTTGGGTCATCGTCGATAAGCTCAAGCATGAACTCGCGATCCTCTCTAGAATATACAGTTGGGCGTCCTCGTTTCGCGTACGTGGCCGGATCTCTGATGACAGAATGAGTGTGTTCGTAAAGAAGTTTCCATCGTGAAAATGATTTTCTTGAGATGTCGAGGAGAAGATCGTGGTTGATTGATGGGATTGATTGTCCTAGAAGCCACTTGTTGAGTGCGATGACTTTAATTTGTGGGGTGTATTTGATGAATGGCATGGCGTGAATGCAAGAGAAATGGATTGATCAACAATGAGAATTGAATGAATAAGAAAAATTGATGAAGTTCGGTGGGATCGAGGGTATGGAAGAAGTGGTGAGCTGTGGTAAACAGCCCAAATTCAATCGAGATAGGTGAATCTCGATTGAAGGCTATGCTTATAACTTAGCCTGTATTGGCTGTGATTTTTATTTTACAAAACTCGACCGGACAAGGTATTTTAGATTGACTGTAACTTCATAAGCAATGTCAACAAAATGGTTATCAAACTTCATCAGTACCTATTCATTCAATGAATTTGTAAACACATGAGAGCATTGAAATGTTGGAACTGTTGTTGAACCTTCAGAATCCAATACTACATCCATTTTCAGTCAAAATACAAACTAATGGATCTTATGCATATACAAAAGCTGCCACCAATTCACAATTGATTTCTCTTGTCATACCTTTCACATGATAGATACTTAGCCTTTGAGTTGCTGACATAATATGTAGAGTTGGCCTCACTACACTTGATACCTTCTCCAATAGTTATGTATATGTTGATGGCTGTAATTGAAAAACTGTGAGCCAAGATAATGTGCCAGGCAACTTCTTCCATTGCTTTGTAGTGATATGTGGATTTAATGGTGGATTCTCTAGACATTTGGATTAGTTGATGGATTGATGTATCTTGATGATTAGAAGTCAAACCCTGCCTTAGTGGCTGCCGCCGCCATGTGAAGTCGCAGCCAAAAAGGGTGCCATACATCCCTTGAGTTACAACTTAAAACCTTCACGCTCTCACAATTATTCAAGCAACAAAGGGTAACAACAGGACCCCAGTAGGCACCTAAAAGGAAAGTCATTCCAAATATAACTTTTGAGCTCCTGCAGGCTCACACTTCAAGGGGTTACACAGAGCTTTCATGGATTTGGCCCAATTCTTACTTTGGTTATTGTGTTCATTGCCAACTTTCCCTGCCTTCAACCGGGGATTCAATAGACTTGTACATTGTGACATGGAAGATTAAGGCATAAAAAAAGTTAAAGAGGAAATTAGGACTCAGTTTAAACTTTTACTGAAGCCAGGCAAAACCTGAGCACTTTGGCAGAGGGGGGTGTCCCCGGGATCTCAAAAGCTATATTTTCTGATGAACACCCTTTGTAGTCACATACCACTGTCCTGTAACCACTCACTTATATGATATGCCCTCAAAAGCATGCAAAATAACTATCACAAACAAACTAGATCTTATAAAATGTAAAAAAGATGGTACTCTAGTACTAATACACACTACCATTAGGTGTAGTACTCCAGTATTATAGTAAATAATATAGTACTCCATATAGTAGTACCATTAGTACTCCATTAGTACTATAGTACTACTGGTAACTAATATGGTACTAATGGTACCAATGGTGGTGTTATAATAGTACTGATAACACTATGGGTACATTGGGATTATGGATAGTACTATAGTACTATAGAGTACTACAGTACCATCAATACCATCAATACCATCAGTACTATACTAGACCCTGGGCGGCCAGCCGCCTTGTTAACTTACCCCTACTTACTCTAGCCTAGACTTGGAAGTGAAAGCTTCAAGGTGTCTTGGTGGTAATGAGCAAAGTCAGATGCAATCACTAATTACTGCATCAGGTAGTGGTCACAGGACAGCAGGTGTTCACCACTACACCATGCTGTGGGACCATGTGGAACCCTGCAAGTCATGAGAGAACTTGTACCTTTTGGGGGGTCCCACATTGTACTCATTGCACAAAATGTTGGATCTTGCAATCACTTTACCCCATGGGATACAATCACATCATTGAATGCAGCTTGCTCGACCAATGCTGTGTTGATCACATCAAGGCCTGCAACAATTGCGCAACCCGGCTGTGATCACCGGACTCAGCGGAGACCATACAATAATGTGAAATAGGGGAGTTACTGTAGGTCCTACTTGTTCTGACTATTTAGCATGTGACCCAATGTGTACCTTGACCGCATTGGGTTTCTTAGGCTGGTGTGTCAAGAAATGGGTCCATGTGGCACTTTTTTTTCCAAATGTTGCTTTTTGGATTATTATATATGATGACGTACTAGTAGTACTATGGTACCATTAGTGAGGACCTCTGAGAGCTACTATTAAGGCACATGATGTAAAAGATCCTATCACCTTATGTTTGCTGTGAATTGCTGAAAATTGAATAGCTTGGAAAAGGTCTTCACACTTGTATTCCTATGAAATCCAAGATTGACAAAGCCCATTGCTCCTGGCTGGCCCTTTTTGGGGGGAAGAGCAAGGAGCCATATCAAGTTTTTATGAATTCACACTACCCTGAAGGGTATGTAGTTCAAACGTTTTTGACATCTTGTGCCTTGATAGTGGCTCTCCGGGGGGCTCATTAGGACCTATGTTACTATAGTACTGTAGTATTACAATTAGTACCACTAGTACCGTAGTACTGAATGTGAGATGGCACCAGTGACATGTGGTAATTATTACAGTAGTAACCTGGGTGGGAAATCAGTTTGGGCGGCCACTTTTTGATACTGGACTGTCTTGTCTTGTCTTACAGAACATACACTACCATACACGACAAAGTGATAAAATAGAAGACAAGACTATACAGTACAATCCAAAAATCCAAGACAAGACATTCCAAGAAAAAAATTTGAACTGAGACCGCCAGAATCATTAAGTGTGAAACCCAATTGAGCAAAGTCGCAGTGTCCGGGTCCGCCACTGTCTTCAATTGCGGATCTTGTTCGCCATAGGTTTGCTATAGGTTTGCTAGCTTGCATCGAGCTGCCCTTGAGTTGTCCTCCTGAGCTGCAGTATTTCAACTACAACAGCGCATATCTACATATTTAATGAAGCTGATCATTATACCCTCCTTTATCCTTCTGTTATGCATGTTTTTCCTTTCAATATCCTCAGACCACTCAAGATCATGTATGAGTCATGAGCTTTATTATGTATATGTTACAAGAGTCTAGACATATGGTACCTCCATTAGTCCATACTACAGCCTGAGTGGATGACTATGTAGAGGGTAGCTCAAGACAAGCTTGCAAACCTATGGCAAACCTATGGCAAACAAGATCCGTGATCAGACCCGGACACCGCGGCTTTGCTCAATCCGGTTTCACACTGAATGATTCCCGCGGTGTGAAAAGTGAGCTTGAAGCATTTTCAATGAATTTACAATGTATACAAAACATACATTACATCAAATACCTACCAGACATACAAAACATACAGTACAGTGTGGGCCTTAGACACAGGGCATACAGTACATATAATACCTACCAGACAAATCAAA